AAAAAGAATTGGGTGTTGTGTTGTTCAGCACCTAAGCTGATATTTAAATGTATTTTTAAATTCTGTCCTTAGCAAAATAAATCAAGAAAATATCCACTGGCTTCCTTCATGAACTGAAGAGTGACTTTCCCAATTCCTCTCTTCTTTTCAAGGCTTTTTTCTTTCACATCACAAATATTTTAAGTGTAACAAAATTATTCTACAATAATCCTGAAATTAGCAATGCTCATCCACTGTTGTTCCACCTATTCTGAACCATCTATTTTCTTCTAATTTGAAGAGTAATATATCAACATATATACCAACAGCATGAAGTTGTCTCAGGGGAGGTTCAACCTGGATGTTATGAAAAGGCTCTTCATTGAGAGAGCAGCTGGGTACTGGAACAGGGGATTTTGGGGTGGTCCTGTGCAGAGGCAAGAGTTGGACTGAATCTTTGTGGGTCCCTTCCAACTCTGGATATTCTATGATTCTATGAGAACCACAGACACTGTTATCACTGTGATTGTGCAAACCCTTACAGAATCTATCTACCGGTCTTCTTTAAGTGAGTATCTACTGTTGTGATGTAGCCTAAAATTTACAGGCATTTCCTTGAAAAAAGAGTTTATGCTAAATTTTATATGCCTATAACATGTGTTTCATATATCTACATCTAAAGATATGTTATATATATATATATGTATGCGTATATACATATATACGCATACATATATATATATATATAAAACATATATATACATTTGCCCCATCCCTGAAGGTGTTCAAGACCAGGTTTGATGAAGCCCTGAGCAACCTGATCTAGTAGGTGGCATCCATGCATATAGCAGGAACTAGGTGATCTTTGAGGTCCCTTCCAACCAGAGAGAATCCAAATACATGATTCTATAAGCAGTCATCACAGCTCCTGTCAGAGAAGGCAGAGTAGAAGTGGGCAATTCCAGGGATGCTTTGTCTCATGTCTCAAGATACATTACCAAAATAGTTCAGCAAAAACGTGTTTTAGAAGTGCTTTTTCTTTCTGTTACCTATAAAGGGAGTCTATAATTAGATCATAGATGGTAACATCACAGATGTCTAAAGTTAGATGATATAAATCCCACACTAAAATTTGGTGTCTGCAAATTTTAGATCTAATTCTAAGAAGTGCAGCACACATTTATAAAGAACACTTTGAAGGGGGTTGTTGGACCACAGATATCTATATCGCTTTTACTTTTTCCTGGGATTACCAACAGCTTTGATTTCTCAGCCCAGTTCTTGCCCACAGAGAATTTAGCAGCTACCCTGACAAATGAAATGTATTTTTATGCATGTTAATTTAAGAAATTAACTTTAAAACAAGCTTTTAAAAATAAAACCAAGATATACTCTCTACATTAATCAAAGGAAGCTGAAAATTGACATAATGTCAGTACTTACATGTTTACAGAAGTCTACTTCTAATCATAACCTCATATGGAGGTTAACCTTATATCCCTTTGGTGTTGTATAAGGTGGAAAGAATCTCTTCATGTTAATAAGTACATCAAAGAAAAAAATAATCTCTGATCAGCAGGAATACCACAGCATAAAGATTTTTGTTACATTCACTCTCTTAGCTGGCTGCTATTCCAAGCTATTTGTATCTTTTTTCCTCCCCCACAAGCTACTAAGATGATATCCTGGCTCTACTGAAATCTCTGGAAGCCTCAAACAGTGAAGCTCCTACCTAACCCAAGTGGTACAAAGTACTGGAAACTGATGTTCTTTTCTTGAGTTCTGCTTAACAGGAGACTGAAGGGAAGACCTGTATTGTGGGCTTTCTAGATGAGTCAGGAGGAGTTTGAGGCACTTCATGAAAATGCACGTACATCCCTCCAACTAGTTGCTCTAACTTGATCTGGGCATTTTGAAGAATAAAAGTTTTAAGTTTCTTGTGCTTTATAAGTTGACACCTAAGGAAATGTGCAAATACATCTAAGAGTCTTTGATCTTAGTCTCATTCACTAGAAAGATGAAATAAAGATTAAAGCTTACTTAAGCTTTACTTCAAAATCTAGATTTTACTTAAAATCTAGAGAAGAACATATTTTTGACTGTGAAAGTAAAATAAAAAATCTAACAAAACCAGACTGTGACCTTTAGGAATACTTTCCATTATTGAGCATGTCAAGGCAGATGGTGAACCAAATTCTGGAGGCTTTTTCTTTTTTTAGTGTATAAACAATGTATTAATTGTTGTTGATTAAGGCATTACCTGTGACCTGAGGGGACAGTATTCTCATGGAAAGGTTCATAATTACAAAGATGCCGAGGGAGTTAGTGCACTGGACTTCAATCTAGGAAATATAGGATCCAGGCACTGTGTTGCTACAGAGTGACTGAGAAGCCTGGAATACACTTAAATCTTGGACTTCAGTGTTATAATACTGGATCTGAGAAACTTTAAATGTTAGCTAAGTAGAATGTAAGGTAATGTAATTACACCCAGAACGTCTTTATGTAGCCCATAGAGATCTCATCCCCAGATGATAACATAAATATAGAGCTCTAAATCATATTTTCTTATTTAAAGTTCCATAAAAACAAATCCCCGCCATCCTTTCTTTATGATTGAAAATTGCTGTAGGAAGATGGGAAGTGCACCCATGCAACAAAGACTAAAGCCCCATGATTCTGGCATTCTGGATCCCAGCTGGATTGTAGGCACCTCATTCCTTGCTGTGAGTCTCTGCATTTAGCTTCAGAAGGTAACAGCACTTCCCTCTGATGTGAAGGGTGAATATATTAAAGATGGACAGAATAGAATGAAGAGAATGGGAACTATATAAATATTGGGTTGTTTTTATGGTAGTGATAGAATATGTAATTGACATTGTTCAAAACTACAAAACTCATTTTATGTGAGGTCTGTATCTTTGATGTTGTAATTAACTTATGTCTTCTGTGTGCCACTCAGATACTCTAAGGCTTTTACAAGTCTTGTTCATACATGAATATGAAATACAGCATTCTATTTGTTCAGTTTAGTGGTTTTGATTACAAACAGATTGTTCACAGGTGTGTCTCAAAACTTCTCTAGTGCAAATTACTTTATTTTCAGTTTATTTATACATAAGTCTGAAGTGTTTAGCAAGAAAATAATAAAAAAATTGAAGTACTGCGTATTCTTCATTTTGATGTAGCTATGCTTACACTTGTCAAAATATTATTCTTTAATCTGTGCTTGAAATAGGCTAGCGATCATTAAATATGAGATCTAGAGAAGTAGTCGTGGTTAATTAGTAAAGAGCAACTTGTTTATGGATGCTAAAAAATATTTAAACGGCCTACATCTTAAAGATGCTGGGGAATTAACTGTTAATGTGAAATATCTTGTTAATTCTCATGATTCAGAAGTTAAAACTTAGTTCCAGTTCCTTAAAGTATTTGGGCATGCAATTTTCACTGATCTCAGTAGGATCCTGCTAGTAACTCATACACTTCTATGAATTTGCCTTTCTATTGATGAGGCACATATTCTAGAACCTCTGCTGTCCAGCACATACTGGGAGACCTTTGCATGAGGACTGATGCTGTAACATAGTCTGACTAAATTGGCTGTCATGAACCAGGAGTTTGTGTAGAAGGCACTGGAAGAAGCCATGAATTCTCACGACTGACAAAGCCTTTTACTTATGGCTAAGCACTAACCTGGCAACACCTGGCTTGCCCCATGAGTCTGCTGCTAGGAAGAGTACCAAGGTGCTGAGATCCCAGTGTTGGTTCCACAGGGCTTATTCACTCAGGCTTTCATTGTTCAAGAGAACCAAAATGCTTCTGGATCACATCTTGGCTTGAACAATTAAAATTTTAGATAAACCTAGTGCAGTCCCTCACTGAGGGAATCTGGTCTTCACACCAAGATTACATACTGAAAAAATTGCTTATTATTTAAAGAACTGAATCCAAATCAGAAGAGGTGTGGTCCTTAGACTGAAGTCTCTGGCCAACCTCCAAGTTCCATAATGTTCCAGTATAAACGCTTCTTCTGCTGGATAGAAAAGACTTTTCCTAAAGAAGAATATAATTGAATATTTAGTCCCTACAGTTCAATCATGATTAGACTTTGTATGTCTTAAGAACCAACATTAGGCTGAATTGTTGCTTCCTTTCATTGAACAATATTAGTTTTGCTACAGAAAACAATAAGGGAATGGGGTCCTGGGAGTGCTTAAGAGGAGAAGGTTGAAAAAAAATCCAATGTATAGTGTCAAACTGAGATTTGTTCAGTGAAATCATAGAAAAATTATCACAAGGCTAGAGAAAAATGAAACTCCAAGAGCACTCACTGAAAAACACAAAATTCTTGTCATTTCAAGAGAAAAAAAAGAATAATGAGCAGGGTTCCACTGTGTAAGAAGAATACTATTTGACTCAGGAAAATATCCTCCAGTGATTAAGTCACAGGTGTTTTCAGAAGAATTCAGTGTTATGTTGGTCTGGTTCCACAAAAACAGAAGTGGGGGAAATAAGCTCAAGAACATTAGCAAAATACAATGTGCGGGTGTTTTAATTTATTTATGGTCCTTGAAAAAAATGGAGATGGCTAAAATACTGGGAAAAAAAAAAAAAAAAAAAAAAAAAAAAAACACTGAAAGCCATATTTACGGTAGAGGGTCTGAACTGATTTAATACCAAATTTGCCTTTTAAGTACAGCTTTGCACCTTCTGAAATAAAGGATTAGTTGCTAGGTTTACATAAAAATGGGAGAAAACTGGTTTCTGGACTATGTTTAATTTAAACAGAACTTGATTTTCTTGAAGAGTTTGCTGCAAGTTCCAGAGAGAAAAAAACATTGCAAGCATTTCTGAAAATACTTTTTATTATCAAAGAAAATGGGAATAAGAAATCTGGAGAGAGACACTTAACTCGATATTAATAAAAAAAAAAAAAAGTTTATATTGTAGTGCTTAGGAGATAGATGAATACATTCATGGTGTTGTAAACTTTCAAAAAATCCTCAATGTAGTAACAGTTTGTAGTCACAGATATTTATTTAGAACACAATGCTGAACATCTTTACAAGTAACAAGCAAATGCTGCGTGAATCTATCAAATGTCTTCAGCCATTATAATGTTACAAGGCTTTCTAATAATTGATTAGGAAGTAATGTAATGAAGCGCTTTGAAGAATTCATATTATTTTTTCTTTTGTTACTAGTAACATTTTTTCATTTAATATGTTGAAATGGCAGATGTGTATTATCCTCTTCAGTTTTTTGTTTGTAAAAAGTAAGATTGATTATTCTAAAATACATCATGTTAGTGAGTGTTTTAGCATTTGACAATTGGATTTTGATAAATGATATCAAACAGAAAGAGGCTGTTCCTGCACTGTAAAATTGAAATCTGAGCTATCCATTTCCACTACAGTAATGCAGATTAAACTTTCTGCTATTTAACTGATATTTATTTCTTAACTGTGACAATGGTATTTGAAATTAATAATAATTTAAAAACAAAACAAAACAACCTCTGGAGAGGAACAATAAATATTTTTGCCGTGTTTCCTCTGCTCTGCGGAAGAACCTAATTTTATTTCTTTTCCCCCTCTTCCCATCTGCTGTAGGGTTCTAGAGGTTCATGGGCCTCCTGTTGTCTTCTCCCTTTGAACCCGCTCTGAAATTTAGTTCTTTCTCTCAGTGAAAGCCAGGCAGGTGTCAGCATTGCTTCTGAAGAGAAAAGAGAACAGAGGAAAGGTATGTTTTTAGTTTATCTGAACTAAACCTACAACTTTCCTGAATAGCTGTTTACTGTAGAAATTGTACCTATTCTCTCCTTATGTCAGACATTTGTATACCACTTTATGAAAATAAAATTACATACCGCTTTATTTACACTGAAAATAGTTTATCACAACGGTTCCATGATACAAGGAAAATTATCTCCATTTTACATCTAGGGAAACTGAGTGACAGATATCACTGTATTTTTGGCATGGCCTGAGAATCAATTGCAAGTAAAAGTTGGTGACCATTCTTCTGTCCAATGATATATTTATTTCACTGCTGTTAATTATTTAAGCATTTAGGTCATTTTAGATACTGAAGTCAATGTCAACCTTCCTGCTGATGGGCTTGTTACCTTGTATTAGAAGAGAAATATCTTGTGAAGGAAAGAGAAAAATCATAGGATTTATGCTGCTGCAAATGTTGACAACTCATGGACTTTTTTTTTTTTTCTTAATAAAATACAGCACTCTAGGAATGCTGGACCACTAACAATTATGACTATTAAGCCCTCTAAATCTATGGTTTTATACTGCGTGTCTTGAGTGGTTCTGAGTTACTTTTACAGAGAAGGGCAATACGATCTGCAGTTTGTTCCATCAGCACTGTGCAGTGTAGCACATGCAGTTCCTACTAGTATGATATAGTAATATATTACAACATTCCTGTTAATCAGGAGTAGAATCGAAAATGGGTAACTGGTTTTAGAGGAGACACTGAGTTTTGTGCAGTTGCTAACCCAAAAGTATTTAAAAGATCAGACTATGGCAAGGAAATGGAAAAAGAGGTACAGGAAAGTGAGGAATAATTTCAGGAATGATGTTATAAAAAGCAAGAAGAAAAGGAGAGAAGATGAATTTAAAAAAAGATTTTTTTGAAATGCATGGATCAGAACAGAAAATTAAGGTCATGGGCTAAGTGTACAGTCTTTAAAATATAGAAAGAAATCTTTAACAGATTCTGGAATGAAAAGTGTGCCAAACCTGTCAGAGTCATTCCACAAAGGCATGTGTACATTACATTAAATCTGCTCTAAGAGGCATTTTAAGCTTGCTTATGCATGGATGGGCATCTTGTTCTTCTCTTTCAGAGACATATGCCACTAAGAAGAGACAGAAATTAAAAGAATTATTTTATAATATAAACAGTCTCTACAAAGCTCATCTTAAAGGTCAACAAATGGAACACTTACAATGCAGAACGTGCATGTTTTATTTCAGCAGTTCATGACAATAACAATTGATGTTATAGCTTAATGTCAGTTTAAACTTCTAAATGCCTACGCCCATGTTTTTATACACTAATTCCAGCTAAAAAGAATATAGTAATTGGAAGATGATGACAAATTAACTGAATTCCTAAGAAAGCAGTATCTCTTTCTCTAAAGGCTTAGAGCTAGCACCCAGATCAACAATTATGGAGAGGAAGGGTACACACAGGAGTCCTTTGGTTTAGTTCAAACACCTGGGGAGTGATCCCAGACACTCAGCACAGTCCTGTGGAGAGGCACCAAAGGAAGCTCTGTTAGAAGCCCACCAGTGTAGCCACAGTAATCAAGTGTTCTGTGGGGTGTAATTAGTTAAGTTGGGTAATCACCCACACAGAGCCTGTCCTGCCATCAAGTGTTGTGTGCACAGAGCATCTCAGCTGGAAGCAACCAGTCTGTTCCTGCTCAGAGTAGCACTGTATGCCTAGATGTCCTGAAAATATCCATTTGTCCTCAGAAACTCCCATTTTCTACATTTCTTTCTAAACCATACAAATTCACTATATTGTTTATTGTATTTGTTTTGTATTGTATTGTATTGAAGAGTTCTCTTTGCTAGCGTGGAATAATATTAGGTATAGCTTTCAAGCATCTCTTAGGTTGCCATCATGTTTTTTGCTGTTTTGTTTTTTTGTTTGTTTGTTTGTTTCCTTTCTCAGTTTGTCAGAGAAGTAAATGTAATTTGCAGACTTTGAAATAGCAGTTATGATGTGTGCCTTGGAACTGACATATCAAATCTTCTCATTCACACTTTAGCTTGTGAATTCATGGCATGGACTGTGAAATCTTGTTCATTTAAAAAACCACTGCAAATAGCATAGTAAACAAGCAGAACGTGGAGACAGATCCTTTTATTTCCTGTCTTGCTATAGTGTCAGTGAGATGTGCTTCCAGCCGTTGTCAGTGGGCTTGATGCTCCATAAACAGCACGGAGACCTGCACATAGAAGTTAAAACTTGATGTTTATGGTAGTAGGCAATACAGGAATAGAAATAAGCAGTTAGTACAGGGAATTTGAAAGGGTTATAAAGAGACAGGGGGAACTTACAGCTGCCAGGCAGCTGCCCCCAAATGTGAAAGTATGTGAGTCTTAGAAATAATAAACCAAGAGACTGATCGGAAGGGAAAGTGAGCATTTCAGTAGTAAATGTGAGTGCATTGCTTGTCAAAGACATGGAGAGTGAAGACAAGCCAGACAAGCAGTGTGTATTTAATGCAATAAAGGGGAGCTTGTAGAATTATCTAAAGCATGGCACCAGAGTCAAAGTGACCAGTTAGGAAAGCAAGTCATCACAGTGAGTAGGATGTAAATGTAGTTTGTAAGGCTGAAATTGAGACAGAGGTAACAAGAAACTGTTTGAAAGTTTGGATAGGAAAGACCATAGCTACTATGTAGAATGAAGCAGAAAGATTGTAAGACAGCCTTTATTTGGGTCTCTAGAAAGAGAGTTGTACAAATAGTGAGAGGAGAAAAAAGCTCTAGTAGTGATATCTTCACCATGGTAAACCAAGACCTACAGCTAACACTCTGTAACAAGGTGCTTGCTTGGGAGGAAAACCTAGCTGATGAGCTGAGCCTGAAATCTGCATGAGATTTCATCAAGTTTGGTTGATAGGTTTTGTTTGTTTGTGGGTTTTTTTTTGTTTGTTTGTTTTTATGTGTTTAATCAACAAATTTCCATAAAATTTTCCCCTCCAGAAAACTATGGTTTCACAATGTGAGCATTTGAGTTTGAATTTCAGCCACTTCTACAGGAACAGAATGCATGACAAGCATCTTTTGCCAGGACACTAGGCTCTATAGAGACAGGCCAAGATAGTGTTTTGGACAAAATAAAAGTTATGAGTATCCTGATTTACTGCAGCTTTGGAAGTAATTCATAAATCCTAGTGGGAAATGAAAGTCATGATATCTCTGAAATATTTATTGGTCTTTTTTCTTGTTCTTTCTTCTTTAATTATACTGAGGTAGTAAACAACTTTACTCACAATTAAGCAGATTAACTAGTATTTCAAATTTAATTCTCCATTCCTTCACTCTTGCAGATTTCAGCTAATGGTATGTGTTCATATGCGTGCCTGAAGATTAATCATTGTAACTCTCATTAGTTTTAATAGGGGCCATGTGAATAATTTTTCATGTAACATGTTGAAATATAACTTTCTTATTAATCTTAGAGAGAGTTACGGGGCTAATTGCTGGCAATCATGCAGGAGATGAATCCCAATATGCTGTTTGTGAGTGGGTTCTTTTGATTTCCCAGACATGTACCAGTATTTCCCTTGGCAGTAACCAAAATAATTTCTAATATAGGTGGTAGCTGTGGCAACTGTTTCAAAATATTTAAACACTTTATAGTGTGTAAGTTACTGCTGGCTTGATATTGCAGTGATTTACATATCCTTTAATGAAAAGTCAGGTTTCCAGCATTAATATGTAAAGTGTGTAAAAGAGTTCAGGCACTTTCCGATGAGGTTTCCTTTCTATGATCTTTGCTCACACCAGTGGTCATCTACTAGGAAAATTAATTAAGAAGGGGCAACCTGTCTATGATTTCAATATGCCATTTCGATTCTTAAGACTAGAATAGGACTGTGATAACCTCTGGGGCTGCTTTATCTGGGGTAGAAGGAAACAACTGATAAAATCATTCAGAATTTTTTCTTAACCTTGATATTCTACCATTCTACTGTGTGATTGATACTGTTAGCAGAGATCTGGGAGCTGAACTTTGCCCCTGCCTTCATGCTAGCACTGTCTGGGGTGACTCAGCTTCATGGCACAGAAGCTTGAATGCCAGAAAGCACTACAGGACTGTTGGGCAGCAGATAGTTATCTGGGGCAACACTCTCCACGGGCCCAGCAGTTGCAGGGAGTGACCTGCTGCCTTTGAGTAGGGTTGGAAGCATGTTTCACAAGGGATATGAGGGTGATTAAAGGAGGATGTAGATGATACAGCATCAAAAAAAAATATTGCTGGATTTATTGCCTCTGAGAATGGAAAGCAGAATCTCCAGAGTAGAAGAAAGGAAACTGAGGCAGGAGTTCATAGGAATTATATCTTAAAAAATCTTACTCTAACTACTCTTATGGACTTGTTTTCCCCTTTCTGTGAAGATGGCAACCGTTAGGAAAAAAAAAAAAAAAAAAAAAAAAAGATTCTTTTATCAGAGTTCTGTAATCATAACTTTTAAGGTATAGACTCATAAATGATTGCTTATGTCTTCTCAGTAAGTGTTTATACCAATACAATGAAGGAAAAGACCAGTTACAGTTACAGTAGATGATGCAAGAGTAAACGTAGTCAGAGAGAGTGAATAACATTATAGGCAACATGCATGTATGCAATAAGTTTGGATGTCTTCTATAACTCTGATGGTGCTGATGATTAATAAACAAGCAAAAAGGTGATGATTAATAAACAAGCATCCTGCAGGTGCTGTTAAGTGTAAGACCAAGAGACTGTTAGGGTATTTCATTCTTCAGAAAAGGCACAAACTCACTGCATTAATGAGTTAGCAAATGAAGTCCAGTCTGCTTAAATACTAAAGTGAAAAATGGAGGCTTTGCAGTTGCACCAAGCAGATTGGGCAGAAATAGAGACCATGTTGATAATCAACACCTTAAATTAACCTCAACCTTTCGAATCCTGTGTAAATGAGATCAAGCCATGTCCTGGAAAGAGATTTTGAAGACATTCAAGCATTAAACATGTGAAGAGAAATACTCCCACAAAATAATTATAAAAAGCTGCCTTTGCAACTTGCTAATGTCTTTCTAAATTAATTATTTTAAAAACCTGCCTTCTTGATGATGTCCAGAGATTTCAATATGAAATGCTAAGGCTAAATATTCATACAATACTGTTGATTTTCACCATATTTCACAAATATTGAAATTGATCCAAAGTCCTCTGAAACAAGATTTGTTTTAACATTATCTTTAATCAGGTGAATTTTTCTATTGGGCTAAGGATCATCCTCAATTATTAAAGCAAAATGGGATTCAGACATCCTTCTGGAGTGCTTTTACTATTAAAGAAAAAAAAAAAAACCTTCAGAGAATTGGTACATATACGAAGATGCCATCTGTAATTTTGTAGTTTGTAGTCCTGTGTCTATTCTGCTTTATTCCTAACAAGGGTAGCTGTGTTTAGAGGTCTGAAGGGCTCACTATTAAAAGACTGTTAAAGAGGTTTTTTTTGGAAACTAAGTGGAACTATGCAATATGCTATGGATCTGAAGTTCAAGAAAGGAGTTAAAATATCAAGGGAGATAGAAGAATGTGTACAGAGTGAGTAAACTGTAGCAATGATAATCTGGGATGGCGTGAAAATGCTCTGTCTCAGGGGATTATGAATTCTGTGACATGCAAAATATGGTTGAGAATGTCTGTAAGTGCAAAGTAAAGGACTGGATTTTTTTTTTTTTTTAGATGATTTGTATTGTAGGAATGTAAGTATCTGCAGTTTTTATCATCTGAAATCCCTGAAGGTCCCTCTTGAAATTTCCTGATGTATATTCCTATAATTCATAGTCTATTCTACAGGTTAGCTCTGAAAGTTTTTCAAAATTCTGATATATTTAGAAACACTTGTAAGATGCATTTTAAGTAGTGCCTCTTCAGCTTCAGCTTGGATAAATAAATATAGCTGTGGTGTAATTGCCTGAAGTAACTAGGAAAATAAAACTAACATTCACGCTTTTAAGGAAAAGGTACAGCATTGAAGAGGCTTTCAGGGTAGGGCATAACTGCATTATCTGAGCATTCCCTAGGCTCCCAACCTTAGATGCTATCGCGCTGGGGAAACTTGGTGTGCTAGCTCTAAGGAACACCACGGAGCGTAGAGTGGAGTGGAGACACCACGGCTAGGCTCTGTAATCAGGTGGGGCCTTGATTGTTCTTGTGCACAAAGCTGCACTTTTTGCCACCCTAAGCCAAAGACCTGTCATGTTTTGACAAATGCTGTACCCTAGTGTACTTTTTGCTCATTATAATATCATTATAATACCAAAACACACCTCCATCCCAAAAGCTACCCGCCTCCAAGGTGCGACCACCCCTCACTGAGCATGCGCTCTGAATTTCTCGGAGCCTATTACTTTAAACGGAGACGGGAAAACTTTACACCAATCATAACTAAGATATGCTTGACTAGAGCCACTCAAGCTCCACCTAGAAGACAGAAAATAATATAAATTGGCCCATGATAGAGGGGATGTTAGGGAAGATACCATCGTCAGGGGAGATACCATCCCAAGGACATACAACATCCTTAGGACCTCCTGACTCCTGGGATCAGTCGACGGGCTGAGCCTCTCTTCCCCCCCCATTGGGACGCCTTTGGGTGAGATCTGAATATTTGCTTATAAATCTCTATAGAGTCTTTGATCCTTTTAACGCGTTTATTTCTAGGCTGCGCACCTGTAACACCTATAGCACCTGGAACACCTATAACACCTGGAACACCTAGAACCCACACCTAGAACCCACACCTAGAACCCACACCTAGAACCCACACCTAGAACACCTGTAACACCTGTGTATTTCATGCATACTAGCTTGCTTTTGCAGATAGTCACTATCACCGGCAATCCAAAAGAACCTGATTATCTGTTGCTGTAATAAACCATACTTGATTGCATTGTGATAGCTCTCATTAATGCAACTAGGGTGAGGGTGGTTATCTGTGATAGTTCAGTGTTCTGAATCTAACCAGACCCCCAGACGGTTAATACGTTTTTGGTGAATGTCTGAGCGGACCCCCAGGTGGTTATTACGTTTTTGGTGAATGTCCGAACGGACCCCCAGTTTTGGTGAATGTCCGACTGGTTCAGTACTCTGAATCCAACCGGGCCCGTAACGGTTAATCAGCTACACCCCTTTAACGCGACAATAGCTAGAAAACACAATATATAAAAGGAACTATTCTAACTTTCAAAATATTTCGTAATATATATATAATAGTTTTGTTGTTTTTGTTGTTGTTGCTTTTAATTGGATGTTACATATTTTATACATTTTATACATTTTTTATCTTGTGTCATGAAAGCTTCTGTTCTCCCATCTGGTTTTCTTTACTCAGAGTTGCTCCTATAAATCCTTAATTCAGTATGTCATTTGCACGTATGCTTTACTCTAAGCATGTGACCATTCCCATTTGAGGGGAGATGAAATAGGGAAAAGATTATATACTTTAGCACTGTGCTGGATTGGGACCCCAACAATGCTTTCATAATAGTTTTTTGTGGTTTTATTTATTTATTTTTTTTTCCTTGGATTTTCTGGAATGTATTCTGTGGCTTCTAGAAGAAAATGATTTACATTTAATCTATAGCCTTATTCTCTTTGTACATAACATCTTGTTCTGAATACCTTACGACTGGTAATAGTTTTTGCTGAAGAGAAAATTTACTATCAGGGAAAACCATTTGTGTATGGGTTTGTTTTTTAGTTCTGTGTTCAGGAAAAGGGACTGCAAATGTGCTTTTTGCAGCTGCGAATATTTGTTTGTGTAAAACCCATTAACAGAAAACAAAATAAATTACATAACCCACTTTTTTTTTTAATATCAGATCATCTCACACTAAACTCACTTTTGCAGTTGATTACACTAAGTGTACATAGGTAAAAATATTGAAGCTAATCCAAGGGAAAGTGTATAACACAACAGTACTTGTCCAAGCAAATGCCTAATCTTAGGTAGTAATTATATATTTATATACCAGTTTTAATTCATTCTCCTCCTACCAGTTGTGTAGAAAATACATGATTTCCTGTTTAGCTTTACTTAAATCGAACATAAGAGGTGGAAAAATAATTGTGAAGTTATTAAATGTTTTTGCAAATCGAAAGCTATCTTTAGGATGCTTTCCCAGTGGGAGACAACTGGAGAAGAACAATTAGAAAAGTGTTTTACTTCTAGTAAATCAAAGTGACTCATTTAGGACTGAGATTACTCCAAGTTTACATCACCAAAAACCTCCCTTACATGTGACTCAAAGTAATCATGGTCAATTCATGTCTGGCCTGTTCTGAGTATTTGTCGTGGTTTAATCTGGCCGGCAGCTAAACACCACGCAGCCTGTTCGCTCACCCTCCCCCCTCCCTTTCTGGGACGGGGGAGAGAAATGGAAAGTAAAGCCCGTGAGTTGAGATAAAGACAGTTTAATAAGACAGGAAAATAATAATAACAAAAATAATGATAACAATAATAATAATAATAATAATACAATGGTGATAATAGGAAAGTAATAATATGTACAAACAAGTGATGCACAATGCAATTGCTCACCACTCGCTGACCGATGCCCAGCCTAACCCCGAGCAGTCCGGCCCCCTCCCCCCGGCTAGCCACCCCTATATATTGTTTAGCATGACGTCAGATGGTATGGAATACCCCTTTGGCTAGTTTGGGTCACCTGTCCTGGGTCTGTCCCCTCCCAGCTCTTACTGCACCCCCAGCCTGCCCGTTGGCAGGACAGAGCAAAAGGCTGAGATGTCCTTGGCTTAGTATAAGCACTGCTCTGCAACAATTAAAGCATCGGGGTGTTATCAGCACTCTTCTCATCCTAAGCCAAAACACAGCATTCCACCAGCTACTAGGAAGAAAATTAATTCTGTTCTAACTGAAACCAGGACAGTATTATTTGCTGAACTTAGTGAAGTAAATTGGTATCAAACCAGTTGGTTTGTGTTGGTTCTGATGTCAGTCCTTTAGCATTGAATATCATTTTCTGTGATGATAAAAATGTTAGGGCAGCAAAGTGGTGATGGAATTACTGGAGTGCATGTTTGTAATTCTACATGCTGATGTTCAATGAGAAAATCTTATTTTGCTCCCACTTGATGTTGCTGATTCTCTGGATAACTAAGTTTGGACTGGCTTAATTTCTTTGCCAAAATAATAGCTTCAAGGTAAAGTGAGACTATGAAAACACATCGCATGGAATACCTGTTATGATGGTACCCCAAGGGGAAGCAGCTTGAACTACCTGTTGGTGAGTGGGGTCTTCGAAAACAAGAATAAGAAAGGAGCACTGTGCTTGCCTAGGTCTGCAAAGTCACACTACTGAATCCTTTCATTCTTGACATTACAGCCACATAATTAGATTTCTGATCTTCTCCACTGCTGCAGGTTCCTGGAGAAGAAAGTTATTTGCTCTAATAGGATCCTACTACATGGGTACAAAAAAGCAGTTTCATTAACTTGCATGTTTCCCTACAAAATTTCTGTCTTTTTTAGAAATGATGGTGCTCTGATTCTGTTGTCTTGCAACTTTCAGTGTTCATACTGAGAAGGAAAGAAACAGTCCTGTTCCACTATACAGATGTAATTTCCTCTAAACATGTTCAAGCCAATAACTTGACTAAGACAGAGGGAGAAAATATGTTCAAATGAAAAGCAGAATTGCATTGCATATGTAATGAAGCTGCTGTGCAGAGAACTTTAATTCTTGTGCCTTCTAGAGACTGATATCTTGTGTTTGCAACAGGTTAATAATATTCAGAAGTGTATATAAATCTTAGCTATAAATAACTAAAATCCACATAGCATGATTTCTAGTTGAAAATGTATTCCCTTTTCCAGGTAGCAGAAAAATCTTATTAACCAGCATGGTTGTTTTTTTTAATAGGTTACTGTATACTGACACACATACACATGCATTTTTGTTACCTGGCTTTTTTAATAAATACTTTAAATGAGTGTCTTGTAGACATGAAGAAGACATCAAGTCACTCAGCAACTGTACATTCTAGGCATAAGCTAGATGGCTGTAAATCATCGTGAACTGAGCTCTGCAGCTTTCACCATGAATAGGTCCATGAACTGCAGTTTAGGTTTTGATACAATTTCAGCTACCACATTCCAGTTGGAATGAAGTGAAAACTAGGAGAATGAAACACATAAAACTGATAAAAATCTTCTCACACAACCTTTTATCCAAGCAGACAAATTGGATTTTTCCACCTTAACACTTGACAAAATCACACACACACACACAAACACACAAAAAAAGCAATTTTTCTGTTTTCATTTGAAAACCAATATGTTTTATTTAGATATATAACTTTAAATATGTCAATTTAAATTTTTAAAAAACATTTTTATTTACAAGGAATCATTTTATTATTGTTGTTGTTCTTTATTATTTTATTATTATATATTTATTATATATTATTATATATTTATTATTATTTATTATTATATATTATTTATTATTATATATGTATTTTATTATTATTATTGTAGAGCTTAGGGATATGGTTTAGTGGGGACTGTTAGCGTTAGGTCAGAAGATGGACTCGATGATCTTGAGGTCTCTTCCAACCTAGAAATTCTGTGTGATTCTGTGTGTGATTACTTTTTTTTTTTTTTTTTTTGGTATCTGAAAGCTTTTCTATAGAAGGAGATCATTCTCTCCAACAGGTGTGCAGAGAAATCACCTGTAACCACTTGATTCAGCACAAGGTCAGAGTAACTGGACAGATGTCCTTAAGAAGAATATAGTGTATGTCCTTAAGAAGAATATAGTGTATATCCTTAAGAAGAATATAGTGTATGTAGCTGTGGTATGCTTGCTACTTATTCAGAGAGGTGCTATCTCTTCTTTTTTAGATTAGCCTCCTGCATCCCTGGCTACCATCCCATGTTGCTTTGTTTTTCTAAGTATGTTTTCTTAAGCGTTATGCTGGCTGAATTTAATGTAATTTGGAAATGCAGTGTGCTGTCAGGACTAAGTTCAGCTCTTCCCAGAGAGTGCAGAGTGCTAGCCTCCAGGTAGAGCTGGTTCAACATCCAAAGTAGCAGCATTTCTGTCTTCTCTGTATTACTAGTGCTTACAACTGCATGGGACAGATATTCCTATGCACCACACTTGGGAACAAAGCTGAACTTGAGTTGTGTATCAAAGATACTGCAGGAGGTGTCAAAAGGTACCTCCAGTCATCTCTTTACAGGCCGAAGTGTTTGTCATTGCATAGGTTGCAATCAAAAAGTCAGTATGTGGTGAATAAACACAAAATATTTGCAGTCTTGGAAAAAAAAAAAAAAAAAAAAAAAAAAAAAAAAGATGTATATTTAAAGTCGAACAATTTACATTAAAATTATGGACCTGGCAGTTTAGTGGTATTCCTAATTCTGCTAAATGTGGATATTTTATCCAAATATAGTCATTTTAAGCTCACTGTCAGGAAAACTGTTAGAATTATTTATATGTATTTTACTTATATTCATAGGAGGGAAAAAAAGTGTTATAAAAGTAATCAGACCTTGTTTAAATTGTCATTAGGATCTTCTGCCTGCCCTCTTTACTACACAGTGCAGGAAAGAAGTGTCTGTTCTATTGTTGCTACATTCAAGTATCCTCACCTCTTATGGTGTTTATCATATTTAATGACTTTACTCAAAACTGTTCCCAGGCTCTTGCTATTTTGAAAGAATCTAAATTTTCATTAAACCAAAGCCCTATAGCATTTTGATGGCAGAGAGAAGCTGTAAGTGTGCACAGTGTAATTCCAAAGGTTTAAAAATAAAAATCTAGTGGAAAGTCCAGCTAAAGCAAATGCCCTGATTTTGTGAGTACCGGACTGACAAGTTTTTGAACAGTTAGCAATTTTTCAGAAGTTAGCAATCCTATATAAACTTAAGATACTGCTGTGAGTACTGGCATATAAGAATCTTGCAGTTTCACAGCTGGAAACTTGAGTAGACTCTAAATGAAACACTTCACAATTAGATGATCCTTCAAGCACCCTTCCTCAGCTTACTGAGTTTTAGATTTTTACTGTGAAGCAAAATCCTGCATTTTTCTTGAAAAGGAAATAAAGATGAGGGGGAGGAGAGAAAAATTAAGATTCAGTCATGACAAGAAATTTAGATAAGTAAATGGGCAGCCTCTTTCTCTTTCCTCATCTTAGTACAAATGCTATTTAATAAGGTACCTACAACATTCAATTAGGACCAATCTATGCAAGATGCTCCAAACATTTATATGAGTTCACACTCATCTAAAGTATTAGAGATGTAATTACCAGCCGGGTGCTACAAAATTACGTTGAACGATACATTTATCTCACAAGCATTCAGAAATGCATCAAGAAAATGTTCCCATCTGCTGTATGATCAGGCTAATCTTTCTTCATACCAGCCTACCCATTAAAACAATCACTTTAGATAAGAAAAAGACATTCCTAACTGTTGCCTTTTTTAATTTGCAGCACACATACTCTAGTGTTTGAGTGATGGTCAATGAGTTACAAGTAAGCATTGCTCTGCTATTCTTGGAATTCACATTTGAACTATTTAGTTGCTTCATGGATTTTTAGTGAGGTTGATTTATGCAACACTGGTAATTGAATAGGAAATAGCAGTACCCAGCAGCTTTGGGAAATTTGGGACATCTAATATGTAGTTGATATGATAAGAAAGTTAGATGATTATTCCAGGCTCAAGGAATAATGTACATGTAGTTTATCAAATTGTAGATGCTGTTTCTAGGAATCTTTACAATCAGTTTATTCTGTATTGGAAATATTGATGTAACCTTATTAATTTATATGAAATACAATATTTTTTGCATTTGAAACACAAGTAAGGTGTTTAAAGCTCTAGCAAATCCCTTTTAGCTGTTATAATAATAATAAAATTCTGTGACTTTTCCATGAGACCATCTCTGTCAACAATTCAAATTCCATAAACATCCAAAGCTTTGCCAAGCTTTAGTTGAGAGAAATTGAAGATATCCATTCCATAAAGTTTACCCTAGTCTCTTTGATTACTACACTCCTGTATTGCGTCTGAGACAAATAACTTTGATCAATTTAAAAACATGTATTGCTTACTCTGAACTTCACCATTTTGGCAAGCTTTTCCCAAATAAATAAATAAATCAAAAGAAAGTGAAAAAAAAAAAGTGAAGGTTTAAAAAAAAAGAAATGACAGCTGCTACATAGAGTAAGCTGTTTATTGGCCCAGGATCACTGGATAGGTATTTTGGTTTTGGTTTTATTTGTTATCGTGCTTTTGATTAAGGATCACATGAGCAGCATCAGGTTTGCTGTGTTATGATCTAGCCAGTGCATACATTTGATTTTGCCTATGTGTACAACCAGCCTCATCTCCATGTTCTCAGCAGTAGCTTAATCTTGCTGTTACCATTGTCAGAAAGTCAGGAGCTATTCATACATGCATATTTGCTGTGCAACATACACATCTTGCCACAGGATGCAGATCTTTTTTGAATACGTAGATTTCTATAGTTCATAAAATAAACTGTCTTAAAAGACAAACTGTGATATATGCCCTATACAAGAAAATTAAATAGTGGCCTCTG